ACACACGCCCATATCTGTCGCACATGCTTTCTCGTCACCCTACCCCCAGCCCAGCCATGTGTGACCATTCCAATCCTGGCTGGCTGCTGAGGAAGTGAGTTACTTTCACTTTCATTCCTTCCCCCGCCCCCCAGCACCTCACCCAACCCAGCCCTGCTGGAGGGGAGGGGGGAAAGAGAGAGAAGGGTGCTCCTCGGGGGGCGGGAGAAGAATGGACGTAGGGTGACCGGACAGCAAATGTGAAAAATCGGGACGGGGATGGGGGGTAATAGGCACCTATATAAGACAAAGCCCCAAATATCAGGACTGTCCCTATAAAATCGGGACATCTGGTCACCCTAATGGACGTTATGGGGGACAACAAAGGATACTGGTGTCAAAGCCGCCAAGCCTGCCTCACCTCACACTGGGGGAAAGTCACACTCACAGGTGATTTCCTTCCCCCACCCATACCCGTACCCTTCCCAGAGACCCCAGCAACCAATCCCCTCCCTCAGACTGTGCTGCATTCGGCTCTCTCTAGGACCCAGCAGCCCTGCTCTTACATGCTCCACTGCTTCTCGTCTGTCCGGGCTCCGGGCAGAGCGGTGCCCCCAGGTAGCATGGTGCCCTAAGCGGCTGCCTGTTCTGCCTATGGCTAAGGACAGCCCTGCTCCCTCCCACCTGCAATAGAAACAGAGGCACTGTAATTTCTAAGCAGGTCACTGGTCTGATGTAAAATGTGAAATGCCCATCACGCTATGTGTTGTGTCCACGTTACCCCTTGGAAGCAAATTCCTCTCTGAGCCTGGCTGAGCTTCACCTTGTGCCCTGACGCTGGAGAATCCTTTTGTAAAGTTCCAGTCCAATCTCCATCTTGCAGAGAGTGGATATGGAATGGCTAGAAACTTTCAAGGACTTGGTAATGGGGCCCACTTTCCCTGTTCTCCTTGCTAGGGCCATGGTGTGTGCTGCTCTTTTAAGTGGCAGGTTCTTCTTAAGTGGTTTGCCTCAAATGTCCTGCTGCAGTGAGTTCCGTAGGTTTGCAGAGAAGCCTTTCCCTTGATTCATTCAGAACATTAGCCTTTTTACTTCATGTGCCACCTGGTCCTTGGGCAATGAAAGCCTCTAACTGGCCTTCTCAGGAGTGTTCGTTATCCAGTATTACGTTGTGTTTTCTTGGTACAGAGCTTCTGCTACAAAGGGCAATAAATAACACCAGCCCACCGGAACTGCAGCCCCCAAGGGAGAACTAAATGCTGAGTCTGCAAGGGGAGGAAGGGAAGAGACTTGAAGGCACCAGGAGAGGGTTTGAAAGGGTGGAAAGAGAATGAGTGCCCCAAAGAGCTGGGGGTAATAGAGAGAGTGCGATAGACTCGGCAATAGAAGGATTCATGGAGACAGGAGGAGTGCAGGAAGCAGCTGACAGGCATGAAGGAATGAGGGGAGGGGTACTGGGTCAGCCTGTGGTGTTAAAGGTCAGGGTTCCCGAGTGCTCAGTGCCCTTGGTGGGCCAGACTTCCCAGAGGGGCTTGAGCGTAAGCTCTCCTGAAAGAGCGCAGACGTGACTACGCGGGTGGCTGAGGACTGTGCCGTGAGTGGAAGAAAGACAAGAAGTGTGACCCACCAGCAAGTGGCAGCCCTGCTACCGGGGCTGGTGCAGGCTCTGGCCCTGTTGGCTCTGTGGTGGGGCTGTGAGATGCCTATGAGGTTAGACACGTGACTGCTCTGAGGAGGAGCTAACTAACAAGGAAGCTGGGACTCCTAATGGTGACACCATGAGGATATGGGGCATGCCCGCATGAGGGAGGGTAGGATTGCTGCCAGGCCCTGTTCAAATTGCCTTCACTCAAGAGGAAGTGGAGAAGGGCAGGTGGAGGGAGTGGTGGCTACGCAGAGAGTGGGAGGCCCTCTGTGTGCTGCTGGCACTGCTGGCCAGGAGCCGAGACAGTATCCCCAAGTGGGTGAGCGCAGCGAGCAAAGCTGAGTAGGGCACCTGGGAACACCCTGAGAGAGATGCACATGCGGGCTCCTTCCAGGGAATCGAGACTAAGGGACACCCCTGAGAGGGGGGCTGTGTGCCCCTGTGACAAGGCATAGGGTGCTGGGCACAACCCCAAGAGGGGGGATGTGTACCCCTGTGACAGGGCATACGGTGCTGGGGACACCCCAGAGAGGGGGGCTCCATGCCCCTGTGATGGGGAGGTGTGGGGGATACCCCTAAAAGGATGGCTGCATTCCCCTGTGACAGGGGATGGGGTGGTGGGGGCACCCTAGAGCGGGGGCTGCGTGCCCCTGTGACTGTGGGCTGGGGCCTGTCTGTGCCTCTTTCTTTTCTCCTCTCCAAAGTGAAAGGGCCCTGATCTGTGTTGCTTCCTCTCGCGGCTGCTCCATCCACCTGTCTCCTTGTCTGGCCCGCTCCTCTGGTGAGGTGGGTAGGTGAGCAAGCGCAGAGGTGTCTTCTGTGCACACGACATCCTTCCTGTATTATTTCCAGCCTGCCCCTGCTCCGACCTAACTTCTTCTTCTCTCTCCTGGCTGCTGCTGGGCGCTGAGCAGACGTCATCACTGCCCACGTTGATTCCTAGGCCTAGCTCGAGCGATTACTGCTAACTCCCCGCCCTGCAGTGTGTGAGTACTTGATGTGGCCCCACTGTGTGTTGCGTTCCACCCGTCTGTGTTGATTCCATCTGCTGCCATGTCCCATTTCCTAGGTTGAATCTCTCAGCCTGGATTACCATAGAATAGATCATTCTGTGTTGTCAGCAAGCCCCCATTTGCCAGGCTGCTACACAGTCTTCTGAACTGGCCCCTGGGGCGGCCTGACTGGGCACCTTTTCCCATGCTACAAGCTGGTCACGACTCTCAGCCGAGTTTGAGAGATGGGGCAGAGAAGGGAACTCTCTGTCACTCCTGAAACCCCCTAGACCCTCCTCTAGCTCTGACACGTCTTGGGTTTAGTCTGGGGTTGAAGGAGAATATTTTGGAAGGTGCAAGTGAATTGGCTGACTGGTCGAGCTGTTTCATAGCCTTAAACTCTGGCACGCTGCTGGCTCTCCAGCTTGCCCAGAGGGCTCTGACCTTGCTCCTTTATCTCTACCTGCTCTCACTCCCGAAAACTGTCACTGTTTGTTAGTAGCTTTAATCCTGGTGCTTGTTTCCCCCCGTGGTGGGTGAGCAGGCCCAGGAGCAGCAGGACCGTTCCGTTTCCAGAGCACGTTATTCAGAGGCTTATTGTCCAGGCTGACATCTCGCTGCGGTCCCCTAGCAGCAGCTCTATAGTGTCCCTGTTGCTAGGAGGCTCCCTGAGACTGCCAGCATGTTCTAACGTCTAAGATCTGGGACGCTGTGGGCACTGGGGCTCACCGAGTCAGTCCCCTTAGCCAAAGAGACTGTGTGACCAGCGTCAGCCAGAGCTGGGTTCTTCCACTCCCACCTCCTCCCCAGGGCTCTGTGCTCTTGAGCTCACTGGGAGAACGGGGCCTCTCCTGGAGGTGACATGCAGGCCTCCTGGTAGCTACAAGTGTCACTTGCGTGACGTCCGTGTTCTTTGGGCTGTGACCACACAGGAAGGATGCCCTGGATTCATTTGAACTGATTGTGAAAGTGGTGTCGTTAAAGTGGAGCAGACCCCGCCGTGGACAATTTCTCTTCCCAAGCGGCTCATTTCCATGTAGCCTGAACCTGTCCCCACTCAAGTGAACCGAAACAGACAAAAGGCTGGTTTAAACCAGAATAAGAGCATCCACACAAGAATTTCATGTCCTGGGTTTAAACCAGTGCAACGCCCCTGCGTGGACAGCCCTTAGTGGGTGCCACAGAAGGGATGGGCTGCGCCTGCTGCATCAGGCGGGGGTGGGCATTGTCTCGCCAACCAATTGTGTAATGATGCCACAGCCTCAGCAGAGTTTGCCAAGCTCTCTGCCTCAAGCAGGCCTGTGTTTCTGCGTGGTGCTCAGGAGGGAGATGTGCCCCTGCAGCAGAGCTACCTGCTTTCTCTGAGAGGTGCTCACAATGTGTAAGGCGGCTGTGCAGTCGGGCCACAGACCCTGGGCTGGAGGGGGCTGTGCCAGACCCTGATCCCCCTCAGGAGCCTGTGCCAGCTGCTCACATACTTCTCTGTGCTGGAAGCAGGGTCATTGCTGGCCTCTTGCCCTCCGTTGGCTTCCTCGTCTCGGTGGCTGGTGCCCCTCCCTGCCCCCACCCAATCCTGCCTCAAGGACGCAGCTGATTGTGTCATTGGCCCGTCTCTATGACAGACTTCACCGGCCTAGCCGTGTTGGTCAGCGGGATTTGTATAGCCCGAGTGATGCCGGCCAGACCTGCACTGCGATGATAACACAAATCCTCGTCATACCAGCAGACTGCATCTTTGCCAGAGTGGCTTATTTTGCTGACGGGGCTGGATTAAGCTGGGCTAATCCAAAGGCAGTTTGCCAGGCTGAGCTGCGTCCGCATGAGGAGCACGTTGCCAGTGTAGGACAGTGGTATAACCACCCTGGTGAAGCCTTCTGAGCGTAGGCCTGTTCTTGGTTTGTGACTCCATCGCCCCAGCTCCGCTCAGCTGCCTCGTTTTCTGCCTCCCTCGCAGACCAGGGTTCCCCTGTAATTGTTCTCTCGCTCTCCAGCTGCCTCGTTCTGTTGCTGGCCTCCTGCCCCACTCATTCTGTCCCCTCGCTTGCACTGCCCTTCCATTTCTCACTCCCATCTCATTGTTGTCGCAGGCAGCAAAAGACCCAAAGGGGCAAAGTCCCTGGCAGAGAGCAGTGGCCAAACTTTGGAAGGAGAGGTGCATTAGTGCCGGCTCCTCGCTGCTCCATTGCTGGCCTCTCCCAGAGGGAGGCGGTGGAGGGCGGGGGGGAGGGATCATGGTTAGAGACAATGAACTTGACTCTGTACCTGGCTGAATGACTGCACAGCCCTGGTCAGTGCCGTACTCATTCCCCAGCTCTTCTGACTGTCCTAGTGTGGGAAGTGTGCCCTGGGGGCGTTGCTGGGACCTGTGCAGTGTGCATAGGAACAGCCGTGGTTTTGTTCTCTGAGTGGGGCATTGCTGGGAACAAAACAGCAGGCAGAGGAGCTTGGTGCCCTGGTGCGAGCCCTGTCGGGGAGAAGCCCCCTCCCCTCATTGGCTGGGAGCCTCAGGTGGGGCCGGGAGAGAAGACGCAGCAGTGACTGATCTAGGGTTTGTTTGCAGGCGCTGCAGAGGCTGGCGAGTCAGTTCCTGAAGAGAGACTGGCAGCGGGGCCGAAGTGAGACCAACGACTCCAGGTGGGACAGCTTGCTGAGGCCTGAGCCTGCTAGCCACACGCTCTTTGTGCTGGCCTGGCCTGCCCTGCAGTCAGCGTCTGGGGCTGTGAGGGAGCTCCAGCCAGGGGCAGCTCTCTGCTACGTTAGTCCTGGACTTGCCAGCAGGAGGCTCTATAAAGAACAGCATAGGAGCACCAGCTCTAGGGAGCTCAGAGTCACTCCAGTCCCAGCCTTCCCCAGAAGGGGGCGCTGTAGGGAGCAGGACAGCAGAGCTGGCTGTCAGGGGAGCTCTGTTCTGTTAACTTAGGTGGAATATATGAGCCCGAAGAGTCAGAGTTGTTAACATGACCCACTCACTGTCCAGCACTAAACAGGGTTAAACAAGGGTCTGGGTTTGCTACCCAGAGACCCCAGTCTGCATCTTACAGTGGCAATACCCCTTTAAAGAGCCTGTTATTGAAGATCCAGCAAAAGAGGAAAAACAGTTCAAGCGTTTGAAATGTGAAGTATTAAGTCAGGCTGTCAGTGTAACCACATCCCTGGGTCCCTTCCCCTTAGCTGGAGAGTCTTTAGAAGGAAAAGCCCCTTGCTGGAGTCTCTTAGATGGTATCAGAGACGGTAATAACTGGCCTTTCGGGGGAAAAGAGACGTTAGCGGAGCTGTTGTTAAAGCCTGATCCTGTTTTCTAGAAAACAAAACAAGCCAAACACACACCGAAGGGGAGAGACGAGAACAGCGAGGGCAGAAAATACAGCTTCTGGCTCTGGTGTTGACTTTCACTCGCAGCCTCGCTGCTGGAACAAAACTGCTGCCCTGAGACTTGGCAAACAAATATCCGTATCAGGCTGTTTAGGACATTGCTTTGAGCTGCCTCTTTGATGCCAGGCTCACAGAAATGTTGCAAAATATACAGTCTTGTCCGGTTAAGCCAGACTCCTATTAGAAAGAAGGAAAAAGGGGAAGGGGGAAAGAGTAGAAATAAGGTAGGGAAGAAAAAGGACACATGGAGGGGGAAGAAGCAGTCGCCCATCCTAGGTGGTGGTTGGGATTCAGCCAGAGCCAGTGGAGGCAGTGATGCCATGTGGGTCCTCTCTCTGGTCTGTTCTGGGGGGAAGGGATAACTCAGTGGTTTTAGCATTGGCCTGCTAAACCCAGGGTTGTGAGCTCAATCCTTGAGGGGGCCACTTAGGGATCTGGGGCAAAGTCAGTACTTGGTCCTGCTAGTGAAGGCAGGGGGCTGGACTCAATGACCCCTTGGGGTCCCTTCCAGTTCTAGGAGATAGGTATATCTCCATATGACAGCTCTCAGGGTTAGGACTAAGAAGGTTGGGGTAGCAACCATGATGGCAAAGCTCACTCTTTTCCCTTTTCTCAGCCAGCTTTCCCCCTACTCCCCCCAACCCCAGAAGTTTCTTTCTGAGAACACAGGAAGCAGTGATGGCGGACTAGTCCATCCTCTCAGTATGTTGATCACCAATTAGGTCTAATTGCCAGTTAGGGTTGCCAACCTTACCGGATTGGCCGGGAATCTCCCGGAATCGTACTCAATCTCCCGATGACTATTAAAGGCGATCCAGGAGATTTTAATAGGCCAAAGTCCAGTCGGCAGCGCAGCGGGGCTAAGACAGGCTCCCTGCCTGCCCTGGCTCTGCGCAGCTCCCAGAAGCAACTGGCATGTCCAGCTCCTAGGCACAGGGGAAGCAAGGGGTCTCTGTGCACTGCCCCCACCCTGAGTGTCAGCTCTGCAGTTCCCATTGGCCAGGAACCGTGGCCAATGGGAGCTGCAGGGGCGGTGCCTGCAAGTAGGGGCAGCATGCAGAGCTTCCTGGCCACCCCTGAGCCTAGGAGCCAGACATGCTGGCCACTTCCAGAAGCTGCCCGAGGTAAGCACACCCCAACCCCCTACCGCAGGTCGGAACCACTCCCGCATCTAAACTCCCTCCCAGAGCCTGCACCCCCCCCAACACCCTGCCCCAGCCCTTAGCCCCCTTCTGAACCCAAACTCCCTCCCAGAGCCTGCACCCTGAGCCCCTAGCCCAGAGCCCCCTCCTGCACCCCAGAGCCCACACCCCCAGCCAGAGCCCTCACCCCCTCCTGCATCCCAACCCACTGCCCTAGCCTGGAGCCCTCTCCCACACCCTGAACCCCTCATTTCTGGCCCCACCCTGGAGCCCACACCCCCAGCTGGAGCCCTCACCTCCTCCCGCACCCTAATCGCCTGTCCCAGTCTGGTAAAAGTGAGTGAGGGTGGGGGAGAGTGAGAGATGGAGTGAGAAGGGGTGGGGCAGGGGGAGGGCCTCAGAAGGGAAGGGACGGGTCAGGGGGTGGGACAAGAGTGTTCAAGTTTGTGTGATTAGAAAGTTGGCATCCCTATTGCCAACACACCAATTTTGGTCCATTGATTTCCAGTCCCACACGTCTCTTGTTCACCAGGCCTGATCCTAGCACAATCCTTGAGTGATAGCAGGAGGCCTTTTCATTTGGATTAATTCATTTTCCCTGTCTCCCTTTTGCACCTTTTCCCATCAACCTTCATTGTTATCAGAACATTTCATAAATCTTTAGCCACTTCCCACAATTAGGTTCACAAACAGGTTACATTTGTACACCCAATTATCACAACAGCTCTCCACCTTTGCCAGCAGAGGGCACTATGAAGAATGGGGCAGGAGCACTGGCTGTGGGGAGCTCCTAGGTACTCCAGCCCCAGCCTTTCCCAGCAGGGGGCGCTGTGAGGAATGGGGCAGGAGCGCTGGCTGTGGGGAGATCAGAGCTAATTCAAGCCAAGAATGTGAACAATGGGGCCTGCAGTGAGGTTCCTGAAGTCTTTGTCAGGTGCCTCCCTGCATGTGCAAGTGCTGAACCAGCAGGAGGTTCCTGAGCTCAACACTGACAGTCTGGCTGGTTCTGTACATGGACTTGGCAGCCTCACTCTTGGCCCCATTTTAAACGTCCCAGATTTTTGGCCAGCAGGGAATTGTGCCAGGGGGCTCTCAGGGGGATGGAGCAGCACTCGAGCAGCGGTGGTGCTGCATCCCAGCTGCACCGAAGCATAGACTCCCAGCCCTGCTGCGGAGACTGGCCTAGCTATGGCAGCTGATCAGCGAGGAGGAGAGAGAGTGCATGTGGGTGGGTGCAGGGGGCTAGATCCCAGTGGAACAGCGCATGGGGGAGAGGCTAGATTCTTGGGGTGTCTGTTTTGGAGTGTACATCCCCAGGGGTGTCAGGGCAGAGGGACATGGGGATGCCTGGGGTGCAGGGGTGTCTGTCATGGTGTAGCTCCCGGAGGGGGTGTGGCTAGGTCTTGTGGACGGGGTGGTGTCTATATCGGGGTGTAGATCTACGGGGATGTTGGGGAAGGAGGACAGTGTAGCTAGGCTTTGGGGCGGGAGGCACCTGCTAGCTAATGCTGCTAGAGTAGAACCTCAGCATTTTCCCTGCTGTTCCAGGTTCCCCTACCCTGGTGGGAGCTGTTGCGTAGAGTTGGCTGCAGGCATTTCACCCTTGTATAGCCATCATGGGTCCTTCTGCCATTGCTAGCCCAGGCAGAGCTAGAGCAGTGCTAGGCCAACCTTGGGGAGAGAGCTGTGAATGCTTGGTGCAGACATAGCCTTTGTGCCTTGGCTGTTGGAATTTCTTGGTACTGAAAGTGGGCAATTGTCTTTCTGCCCGTTTGAACTGGAGAGGGGTGTCATGCTGTCTGGAGGCCAACACTGAGTGCCAACTGAAGGCAGACTGTCAGAAACAGGGCAGACACCCCAAGCTGGTGGTTTGTTCTATAATTAGATTTCACTAACTCCATAACAACTGTGAACTCCTGGATCACTGTACCAGTCTCACCATGAAGTCACAGACAGTCCCCTCAGACTCTCTAGTCTATGTTACTACCCAGACATGGTGGACTTAGTGATAAATGGTCACTTACACCAAAAATCACAAAATATTCAGATTGCTTCCAGTCCCAAGAGATCAGTCACTTACCCCTAGATCAACTGGTACTGTAGGTCTTACACCAAAGACAACGCCAGTAGCCAATCCTGTAATAAACTTTCCTAGTTAATAAACCTTTAGATAAAGAAATCGGTTATTTGCAGGTTGAAGCAAGCAAATGTGCACACAAGTGAGTTACCATGTATAATTCCTAAAAGTGACAGAGATGTAGTAATCTGTCCATTCAAAATGTCTTTCTGGGCAAACCCAGGAATAACCCTGGAGGATCTCTCACTTCAGTATAGTCTCTCTGGCCCTGGGACTGTTTACTTCAAGCAGCAAAGAGATGGTAATTTTTCCTCGTGAAGCATTTTTATATCTTCTTTCCTCAGAAATCAAGCTGATCGCAACAGTTCCTATGCAGGTCCCTTCTTCATGGGATGGGGGGAAGAAAAGCACTTAGTCTTTGAGCCTTGACCTCATACAGTGGCTCCTTTGCGTTTAACATTTTGTTAGAGCCCATCGTTTGCATTACACAAGGCTTTTTCCCTGTGTGGTGAGTTACGCAGTCACAGGTTTACAATGCAGATGCTTGCTATCACTTTATAACCTGGGGCATAGCTGAGTGAGGACAATACATGCAGCATCCTACAAGCATTTTATAAAACACTAAACATATTCTTATCAACTTCACATCTAACATCTATTTTGATGATGCCAGCATCCAGGGAAGCAAGACTGGTTTCTAGCTATGCATTTGTAAGTGTTCAGCAAGGCCTAGGACCCTGGCATAAGCTGCCAGCATCACAATGGAATTCTTCTTCGCTTCCCATTCCCCAAACAGGCTGTGTGGCATTGTAGTGCATTGTTAAACTTTGCCATGTTTCACCCCAGAGGTGACTACATTTACAGAAAGCAACAGAGGGTCCTGTGGCACCTTTAAGACTAACAGAAGTATAGGGAGCATAAGCTTTCGTGGGTAAGAACCTCAGATGCAAGAAGTGCACTTCTTCTCTTGCATCTGAAGAAGTGAGGTTCTTACCCACGAAAGCTTATGCTCCCTA